ATTTGCATGAAATTCAAACCTGTTTTATTTTTTTATTATATTTAATGTCTTAGTGTGTATGGATCATGTTCTTCTGTTTGAAAATTATTTGGATATCTGTTGGTTTGAAATGAAAAGCCTAAAAGAATAATCGATTTGGTGAAAAATTCTTGGTCAATTCTTCTGCTGGATTGGAAGGTTTGTCACAACAAAAATGTTTATAGACTTATCTGATGACGATTAGCTCGACAATAAACAATAAAATATGATTTTGGGTCCTTTAATGTTTGAGTTAATACCAAAGACATTCTTGCTTGGGCAATCATTTTCGGTAAGATTTTTTTTTTTTTTTTTTTTTTTTCAGGATTGGAAATAACTCCTCTCACTATATAAGATACGATAAAGCCATAAAATAAACATGCAGAGAGACAGCTTCTTTAATTAAGGCTATACGGTCACACCAATGAATTACAACTGGCCATTTATATAATAATCTTTTATTTAGTTGTCAAATTGAGGCTGTGTGCCGTAGCATATTAGATTTGCTCAATTGAATGGACAAATTTAACCCAGTATATTTTTCTTCATGGTAGATTCAATTAATAATTATTTAAAAAAAAATTGGACCATATCCTTTATAGAACTATATACAATAGTTTTCATCAAAATGACCTATTCGGGATCATTCAAGAAAAAGAGTATTCCAGAAGAATTTATAGGATTAGAGGAACTATTCCTCTTGACTACCGTCTGCCGCTGGGATCACAACTTTGCTTTATAAATCTCTTTATAGGCGGGAAACAATTAGTTAAGTGGGTTAAATACAGTTTGCGCCCTAGGTTTGGTGAATTTCCTTTAGTACCCCTGACTTTGGAAACTATAACGTTTCACCCTCCGTTAAAATCCGTTAATGACTTTATATCTGACACCTGTGCAGACAATTCAATGACCATATTGCCCTTAAACCATTGAATTTTGATGTTTTAATTCTATTTTTTTTAATATTCCCGAAAAATTATGATTTTCTTTAAACCCGGATAGTGGATAACAAGAGCTCCCTCGTCCCTCCTTCCAAACAGTGTGCATCCATGGAGTTTTTGAACATTTCTTTAGGAATTTTTTATTAAATATTATGGTTGATGATTTAACTCTATTTCCATCAACCACTTCCACTCTATGCAAGACTGCAACAAATCATTGCTCACAATGCTACCTGAAAACAAAGGGCTCGTTTGGTTTGTTATTTTGGATATGATTTTAGGAATAATATTTAGTAGCTGAATAGGGTGAGTATTACGAGGTAAAATTTAAAAATTAACCAAAAAACCCCCTAGGTTTGCTAATTTAACTAAACACCCCAATATATAAAAATTTTATAAAATGGCAAAAGCACCTCCACCCACCCACAATGCCAGATTCTGGCCACCATCGCCAGAATCTGGCCGGAAAATGGAGTTACAACGCAGACCGGTCGGATCTAGCCGGTCGTGCGTCGATATGGCCTTTTTCGGCCAGATCCACCATGTTTTCGATCAGATCTAGCCATCGACGGCCACAAAAGACCAGATTTGGCCATCACTAACGGCCAGATCTGGCCTTTTCCGATCAAATTTACTATGGATCTGACCGAAAAAGGCCAGATCAGCGAATTACCCACCAGTTTCGATCGTTTCTACACCGTTATGACAGGTGGTTGCCGGACTCTGGCAACTATGGGTGGGTAGGGGTGTTTTGTTAATTTTTAAACTTTTTTCTAAGGGTGTTTAATTAAATTAATAAACTTAAGGGGACTAAAAGTAATTAAAAAATATAATATTATTTTCAAAATAATTAAACAAATAGGTATTTTTGGAATAAGATAAAGGAATAGGGTATGAAATAATAAAACAAACGGACCCAAACTTATTATTCAAGTTTATTTACTTACACAGAGTTTTCCATCTTGGTGCAACACAATAATTTAGTGTACAACCTAAAAAATTTGGGTATGTTTGGTAGGTTATTTGAAAAAATGTTATTTTGAAAAAATAATTGAATAGCATTGGATATGATTAAATAGAATAAAATAAAATTTTGATAATGTGTTTGGTATAATATTTGAAAATTATATCAGAGTTGGATAAAAGACTGAATAATTGTTTGATACATTTTTTGAAAATATTTAGATTATTTTAACCACCTGCATTTGCTAATTTAGCTAAACACCCCCCACAACAAAACTTTAAAATTTAACAAAAACACTCAACAATAAAACTTTAAAATTTAACAAAAATGCTTCTACAATAAAACTTTAAAAATTAACAAAACCACCCCCCCAAAATGGAGCTGTCGACGATGGCCAAATCTCTAGCCATTGATTTGGCCATTTCTTATCAGATCCATGGTGGATCTAGTTGAAAACGACAAGATCAGTGCACGATCGGTCAGATCCAACTAGTCATGCGTCGTTCCAACGTCAGTGATGGCCGCATGTGGCAACGACGACGACTACTAGCTACTGACAATGGCTTGGGTGGGTGGGAGTGTTTTTATTAATTTATAAACTTTTTATTGTGAAATTTAATTGTTTTTAGTTGAATAGAATTGGAAAAATATTAGAATAGAATAATAGAAAACAAATCCCACCCACTTTTCATTTTCAATAGAAAAAATATTATTTTATTTGGATTGATTTTCAAAATAATAATCCTAATAAGTAAACAAATGCATGTTTTGTTTTTTAATCCAAATAGGATAACAGAAAAATGATTTGAAAGAGTGAAACATATAAGGGGAAATCAATTGAATTTTACAATCATAATCAATCTGAATAAAAAATAACAATTAACACAAACATAGCCACCATATCACCCTCTATTTGGTTGATGAAAAAATGAGAAAATTTGTTTTCCCATATTTTCTTGGAAACCAAACAAAAAATGAAAAGGGCAAGAAGTTGAGATTCAGTTAAGTGTTTGGCTGTTGAGGAAACGAAGAAAATTGTTTTTTGTTTTGTTTTCTTGGCAACCAAACAGAAAACCATGAGATCAATCGATTCACAGGGAAGTCCAAATAGCTCGGGTGCAGCTAGGGTTTAAGGTTCCAAGGCATAGAGTAATGACGATAATATCCTTACTCTGTTATATATAACGCGTAACCTTGAATTTTAGGCATAGTTTAATGACGATAATATCCTTACTCTGTTATATATAATGCGTAACCTTGAATTTTGGGTAAAACATGATATTTTCCGAAACCAGGGGTAGAAAGTAGATTTACAAAACCTAGGGTGGGAAATTATGTTTCGGCCTTAGTTAAGCAATAATTATCCATGGTGTTTATTAATGGAATTGACCGCAGACATTTGACGCAACTAAGCTTCCAATTCCTGTTCCGTATTAAGATAACTTGGCTTAATTAACTCCACTAAATTTATTAATTAATATAATCTAACTTTTTATTCAAGTTGCTTGTTCTACAAATTTAACTGAAAGCAAGAAATAAAGTCATTTTCAAATAAAATTCATCTATTTTCTTCTAATCTTGTCATTGACGATTTAACACTTATAAAAAAGTAAAAACCAAAGAAAGATTATTTGTACTCTACATCAAATACAAATTTAACTGAAAGCAAGAAATAAAGTCATTTTCAAATACAATTCATCTATTTTCTTCTAATCTTGTCATTGACGATTTAACATTCTATAAAAAAGTAAAAACCAAAGAAAGATTATTTGTACTCTACATCAAAAAGTTACCTACTTTAATATACTTTTACTTAAAGAGTATGGATTACATTTTAGTAGGTACTACCATATTTCACTTTTCAAATGAGTCCTCCCCTTTCTTCTATCGTCAATTTCACAAAGTAAATTATAATCTTATCATTCACATTTGTTTATGACTATGACAAAATAACGCTCCGTTTTAGTTATGTTTGTTTTTTTTTTTTTTTTTTTTTTTTTTTTGGGTGATTGGATATCTGAACCAGTTTACGCGTATCTCAACTAATTTTTAAGACCCTAAAATTAACGATTGGGTAAACCTCTGGTGGTTACTCCTACAATAACTAGGTGAATCAAACTCATGATTTCTTAGGCTCTGTTTGGTATATAGTTTTCCCAATAAAGTTAAACAAAAAATTTGTCTTTGGGGTTCACTTATTCTCAAAATATTATTCTATATTATTCAATTTTTTTTAAACCCCCTAAGTTTGTTAATATAACTAAACAACTCAAATTTAAAAAAAAAAAAAATTGACAAAAACACCCCAGCAACCCACATTTACCAGATTTCGGTCACCACTGTCGGAAGCTGACCGGAATCTGGTGTAATGGCGCACTACTGGCTGAATCTAGCTGGTAGTGCGTCGATCTAGCCTTTCCAGCCAGATCCACGATGGATCTGGCCTGAAAGGCCAGATCTTTGGCTGTAGACAGTAGTCAACGATGACCAAAGATACGGCCGTCATTGGCCGTCGTTGACGACCAAATGCGGCTAGATCTGGCCATCAATGGTGGATTTGGCTAGAAAAGGTCATATTGGCGCACGATCAACAAGATCCAACCAGTTATGTGTTGATACGGCTACTCCAGCCACCCTACAGCAATAGTAGTCGGCTGTCCGTATTTAATGGGTGAGTTGGGGGTGATTTTGTTAACTTTTAATATTTTACTATAGCGGTATTTAGTAAATAAACAAATATATATGATATTTTTATTAATTTTTAAATTTTACATCGAAATACCCACTTAATTTAACTTTTTTTAAAATATTATTCTAAAAATTATTATAATAATATACTAAACAGACCTTAGATAATACTCTAAAAGTCTCTATTTAACCAGTCGGACACCCACGGATTGTTTAGTTTTAGTTATGTTAACGACGTAAAAAAGTTAGTGAATTATGATCACAGGTAGACCGTAGACTTAGACTATGTGATGATGAATTTAAAGGCGAAATTCAAAATTCAAACTAAGAAACTGCGTGGCATTTCGGTTAATCCACCTGAACTTGGAGGGTAGCTAAACTAGAAACAACTGCTCCCAAACGCTACAAAGCATTTAGCTTCTCCCCTAAGCGAGAACTCTCTCAACTGACAACAATAAAATCGTTCGTTTGATAAATCTGCTGCAACAACTACAACAACAACAAAGCCTCCAAACATTTTTTTTCTCTCTCTTAATAAACATATTTCTCTTTGCTAGGGTTAGTTGTTGTTGTTGTAGTAGTTGTAGACTCGTTTTAGTGATCAGAAATGGGGCAACAGTCGTTGATCTACAGCTTCGTGGCTCGTGGAACCGTCATACTAGCCGAGTACACCGAGTTCACCGGAAACTTTACGAGCATAGCAGCACAGTGTCTCCAGAAACTTCCTGCTAGTAACAACAAGTTCACTTACAACTGCGATGGCCATACTTTTAACTACCTCGTCGATGACGGCTTCAGTATATCCTCTTTCTCTCGTTTCCTGTGATATTCATTTTATTTTATTTCTCATTTATCTTCTGATCTGTGCGTTTCTTGCGTTTGTTTGTGATTATTCTGATCGGATTGTAAGATTTTAGATTTTGAATGATCAGGTGTATGACCGACAGTTTGTGCTTTGTAGATTTGGTTTTGGATTTAAGTTTATTGTTCATTAATTATGCAAGTATATTTTGAAGCTAAGTGATTGTTACTTTGCTCAGTTTGATGGAAAATAGTAGTTTATTTTTTAGTGGTTAAGTTTGCACGGATCGTGCTTATTTAGTCTGTAGAGTTTGATTTGATCTGATTGTTTCGGAAGTTTGTTTCTGACGTTGCTGAGAAATCCGAGACAACTTCAATAATAGAATCAATTAGTTTTTATGTATTTGCTATGTTTGGTTGCCTAAATTAGGGAAGCTGGTTTTGCTTCCGGTTAATGTTTCTGTTCTTTTGATGATGTAAGTTACTGACTCCTCTTAATTGTGTTTGTATTGGAATACTTATGTGTGAACTATAGTTTGGGCTTAGATGGTATTGTGAAGAATAGATATTAATGCTTTTATTTCTAACTTTGAGTTTTAGATGGTATTTTACCTGTTCAGTTTTCAGAACTTCAGATCCATCATTGTTATTGGTTGGTTTTTTAAGTCTCTGTTATATGATCGGTGTTCTTGACCATTGGTTGGATTTGATAGTGTGAATGCAGTTAATCATGAAAAATTGTTGTTTGGATATCTATTTGTCTATTTTCAAAAAGGAATTAAGGGTTGCAGGCAATAGTATTCTCTGTTAGTCTGAAGCTGATAATAGAATTAATACGTTCAAATTTCAGTGATTGAGTAGTGTTTAATGACCACAAAGCTAGAGTAGGTATTTCTGGTTTTGATAACTTGATGAAGTCTTTTCCTATTGGTTCACTTCTTGGACTCTTGCTGTCTCCTATTTTACTCAATTTTGAACCTTTTTCTTGTCCTTCAATTTATTGAGAAAACTAACCAAATCTTTGAATGTCGCAGCATACTGTGTGGTTGCTGTTGAATCTGTTGGCCGACAGCTTCCAATTGCCTTCCTTGAGCGAGTAAAAGAGGATTTTACCAAGAAATATGGTGGAGGAAAAGCTGCGATGGCAGTTGCTAACAGCTTGAACAGGGAGTTTGGGTAATCTTTCTCGCTCTATTCTGAGGACTGTGTTATGAAATGGCTTGTGTCTTCTATCTATGCCACACAATATACATTAATGCTGTAATTTTTTTTTTTTTTCAATGATGTAGGCCCAAATTGAAGGAGCAGATGCAATATTGTGTTGATCATCCGGAGGAGATCAGCAAGCTGTCTAAAGTGAAGGCTCAGGTTTCAGAAGTGAAAGGTGTTATGATGGAAAACATTGAGAAGGTAAGGCATTCCTGTTGAAGCTTCTATTTGCTTGTTTGTGTGCTACGAATACAGTTATTTNGATTTTACCAAGAAATATGGTGGAGGAAAAGCTGCGATGGCAGTTGCTAACAGCTTGAACAGGGAGTTTGGGTAATCTTTCTCTCTCTATTCTGAGGACTGTGTTATGAAATGGCTTGTGTCTTCTATCTATGCCACACAATATACATTAATGCTGTAATTTTTTTTTTTTTCAATGATGTAGGCCCAAATTGAAGGAGCAGATGCAATATTGTGTTGATCATCCTGAGGAGATCAGCAAGCTGTCTAAAGTGAAGGCTCAGGTTTCAGAGGTGAAAGGTGTTATGATGGAAAACATTGAGAAGGTAAGGCATTCCTGTTGAAGCTTCTATTTGCTTGTTTGTGTGCTACGAATACAGTTATTTTCTTTTTATGGCTGTGCCTCTGCTTTTTTGATGGAATATGGTGTTCTGTTGCGAGTAATAAATCTATGTACAGGTTCTTGACCGTGGAGAGAAAATTGAGCTTCTGGTGGATAAGACAGAGAATCTTCGCTCACAGGTCAACGACTGTATATCATTGTTTATTGATTACTAAATTTGGCAATATTTTCTAAAGCTAGCTGATGTGATAATGTAAATTCCGTTGTTTCTGGTGTTGCAGGCACAGGATTTCAGGCAGCAGGGAACGAAGATGAGAAGGAAGATGTGGTTGCAAAACATGAAGATAAAACTGATAGTTCTGGGAATCATAATTGCCTTGATTCTCATCATAGTATTGTCCATTTGTGGTGGCTTCAAATGTTGATGTTTACCTTGCTCTCCACAAGGATTGGTTTTTGCTTGTCGAAAAGTTTTCACTATGCCAGTTTTCCTACAGATTTTGTAGTCTCTTTCCTGCTATAGCTTTATATCAGGAGACGGTGCTTGTATAGTTTGTATTTTTGAATTCATTTGTTACGAGGTCTTCCGTGTGTGGAAATTTGTCATTCCTTTTGATTTGAAACATCATCTGTTGAAAATAACTGACTGATTACAGAGATTATATTTCACCTTCGTGCAGTTACTGCAACATTGAACTTCCACCGTCAAATATTTGGTCAACTTTCCTTTACAGGGATGATTTATTCTGGTAATAAGGTTTTCTTTTTCTTCAGACCAATTAAATGATAATTACCCATTACATTAGTTTGTGCACCTTAAATGAATTTTGTTTCTGTAAGTATCACATATTATAACATTAATGCTACCTTATTAAAATTTAAAACCACCATATCCATGTCCAAGAGTGCAGATTCCAGTCTCTAATTCGGGTGAACCATCTCAGAACACACCATATAATCATTCCAATAAAATACAAAAAACAATTCATTTTTGCTTATTGTTTGTGTTACAAAACAAAATTTGATCATCTACCCACCCAATAAGTTAATTGAAACTCAAGAATAAGAAAGGCTATTACAGCCAGCTGTCAGAAAAAGAAAAAAAGGCTAACAAAATGGCATTTAGCAAGGAGAAATTGAAGCTAATGAGAAAAATGCTTCATAATATTGATTTCCATGTTATCTATGAGGCGGACCTTCCCAAACCAGGCAGCAATGCAAAAGACAACAGGACTCTTTATCTCTTCCATCGCCTCCAAACTTTCTTGGTCTACAATCTGCTGGCAGGAATCATTGTAAAATTAGAGCACCTCAAAATAAAAAACCTAAAAAGTTTCAAAATATAAATGCTTTGCTTTGTCCAATAAAATAAAACACTGGTGCTATTCAATAAGTATGTCAGGTGTTTAAAGTATGCATATTCAAGAAAGGAGCTTTGGTCAACATTTGGAGCCATAGGCTCTGTTTTCATTCTACCACTCATAAAACCAAGGAACTCTGGCAGCCATCAAAAAGGGCATATAACAAGTAAACCTTTGAATACAAGGAAGATCACCTAGCATATGTTTCTGATACTTGTGCTCTTGATTGGTTTAATGAATAAAGTTCTAATTGCTCATAAAGCAAATTCAGATAGGCATATTATCAATCCAAATTACAGGGAAACTAAAGGGTATAGAGAGTTTCAAGTCTTGCCTCAGCATAGTCAATTCTTCCCCCAGCATCATTTATTGCTTGGATGACCAAGTCCCTCAATTCTTTACAGTTAATTTGACCCTTTTCTGCAGAAGATCTAGCTCTGAATAATGACCTGTTTATAGACAATGCCTGCAGAATACAAAATTGAATAAATCAATACAATGTTATATGTAGATCATAGCACAAGAGGATCAGCAGCATTGAGAGGACCTTTTCCCTTTCTTCAGGCGATAGGTGCACATTACGAGAACTCAAAGCAAGGCCATCTTCATCTCGAGCTATTTCAGAACCTATCACTTCTATGCCAAAATCAAGATCTCGAACCTGTAGAAGTCAAACAGATGAGAAATCAATTAGCAGCAGTGTGTAATCCCTTGTAGCTTATTAATGGCATCATTGAAGCCAATTGCTCAAGCCAAGCACTTAACTAACAGGGAACTCATTTAGAGTAAAAAAAAAAAAATTACTAAAATTTGCTGATTTTAGTTTTTAATTGGACAGACATATATCAAATCAACTGTCATGTTGCAAATCTAGTTTCAACTATTAAATGAATACACATCAGTCATCACAATCTATTAAGCATGACATTTTCTAATTAGTTCAAATGACAAATACCATGAAAATCAAATCACTCCAAAACTCTTTTCTTTGCATGCTTGAGTCTCGGTCTCGATCTTCTACATTCCAGAAAACATGAAGAGAACAGAGTTTTCATACAGCAAAAATGTATGGCATGCAAATAAAATAGCCGATTCAACTACCCCTTAAGGCACTTTCTCACCCCACAGTGAATATGATGGTTATAGGCCAACATCCTCACACTCAACATAGTTCCCAAAAACATAAAGAAAGAAAATTTTTAAATGTTTCATGAATCATTCCAACGCCAAACTACATGAGCCTCAATTTCAACACTAACAATTTAATACATTATAATTGAAAATCATCTTCAGATCCTAATTTAACATATAAGAAGAGAAGGAAACTTTTAAGCATCACAGTAAACATTCAAACCCAAATCAAACACAGAATCCAATTTCTGTTGTTTTGTTCAAAACCGATGATCATCACAACCTGATTTTTTTGACAGGAAAATAAACAACTTTTCTATCATTAATTTGTTTTCCACAGAATACTCACCATTCGCTGAATAACACGAAACTGCTGATAATCTTTCTTCCCAAAGAAAGCAAAATCAGGCTCCACAATATTAAACAACTTGCTAACAATGGTAGCCACCCCTCTGAAGAAAACAGGCCGACTCTTCCCACACAGACCCTTCTCCAATCTCTCGACTCTCACCCAAGTCTCATGCCCCATCCCCTTTTCTTCAACACATGAAACAACTCCACTACCAGCATTACCAGACTCACTCCTCTTACTATCATTAACATCGTTATTTTTGAAATTGTTTTTATAGTCATAAAGATTATGAGGGTGGAAGACAACATCCACAGCTTTAGAAAGAGACATAACCTTGCGGAGATCACCCTGAAAATCAGAAGGGTAAATCGATAAGTCCTCGGAAGGAGAGAACTGACCTGGGTTGACATAGATGGAGACAACAGTGAGATTAGCGTGGCGGTGGGATTGTTTGACCAGAGATAAATGACCTTCATGGAGATAACCCATAGTGGGTACTAAGCCTATGGTTTTGCCTTGTGAATACTCATGGCTCTTGACCAGTTCCTCATCGGGTCTTGTCTGTAATTATCTCTGGTTCTTTGGTTGCCATGGGAAACAAGCGAAGGTGGTGAAACTAACTAATTTGCTTGGGGTTAAAAAGCGGACTTTTAGTGTACGGAGTAAATTCAACTCGGAGTTGGGTGGGGGGGCCTTTGGGGGCTGATTTGGGGATTGGAATATTGGAAAGCGAAAAGACAAATCTCAAAAAAGACAAATCTTAATAGAGGCGGGGTTGGTCTTAATAGAGGCGGCGGGTTTGGGAGTTGGATGGCGCCTACAGGTTACGTTTCTCATTTGGCTTTATTAACATAGTAAACGATTTTTCCCACCCAAGGATTGACCTAAAACTCTTTCAAAATGATACTCTGTCAGGGGTAAGCATAGATCGGGTAAAACCGAAACCGAAGTAAGAATCGAAACAAAATCGAGGGTAAAAATCGAAACCAAAATCAGAACCTATCCAGAACCTACACTGTACGGATAGGTTCCAGTTCCAATTTTTAAAATCGCTACTGTACGGTTCCGGTTCCGGTTCTTGCATGTGGAGGAACCAGAACCGGAACCAGAACCTGTAAAAAGGGTACCCTGTTTGGAACCTATAGGGGGTACCCGGTTTGAACCTGTTTTGGAACCTATTTGGAACTGCTTTGAAACCTGTTTGGAACCTGTTTAGAACCTGTTTAAACCTATTTTGGAACCTGGACTATAATGAAAATTTGTGAAATGTAAATAATGGGGGAGTTTCTATTATTTTACATATAAAAAAATTAAAATGAAAAATTAAATTTTTAGAAAACCTAATTAAATAAATATACGAATACAATTATACTTATTACATATAAATTACACCATATTAAAAGCTTATATTATATACATTAATATTAAAGTTTTGATCAATTAGTGAATAATTGAAATTAGATCCAATTAAAAGTGTTTACATTTTTAATGTTATTAAAATAATTATTTTGAATAAATAATATATTTGATTGAGTAATAATATATTTAGTTATTTACTTCAATTATCAAGTTCTAAGTATATTATAATAAATTAGTAATAATTAATATATGATAAATTGATAAACTTAAAAAATTTAATTACTAGTTAAATATCATACTTAATCAATTATATATTACATTATAGTTAAATAATTACTTAATTAATTATATTTTAACATTACTTAATTGATTTATAGTATAATTAATTATAGCATACATTAATGATTACTACTTAATTAATTGATAAGTTATAACATAATTAAATAGTTAATTAATTGACTTAAATAGAAATTTAATTAATTATAGCATTAGTTATAGATTTATAGTATAATACTTAATCAATTATAACATTAGTACAAACTAATTAAATGATTAAAAATTAATTAATTATAATATTACATTAAAAATTTATAGTATGATTATTTAATAGTTAATCACTATCATTACATTATAGTATGATTATATAATTAATTAAATATTATAATTAAATAATTACTTAATTGATTATGTCATTTATTATAAAATATTACTAATTACATTTACATAAACATTAGCATAATACTTAATTAAATAGTAAGAAATTTAATTAATCATAACACTACCTTATAATATTTCATTATAAACATTAATAAGCATTACATTATAGTTAATAATACTCAATTAAATTATAATATTATTATATTACATTATATATTATGATCACTTACTTAATATTAGCATATATAGTTAAATGATACATAATTACATAATTAGTTATAAATTTATAACATTCATTATAAACATTAGTAATACTAATACTATATATTACATTACTTAATAAACGATTAAAAATTAATTAATATAACATTACTTATATATTTATAATATGATACTAAAAATATAACATTCCATTATAAACATAGTTTAATTAATCAAGATTTGAAATTAATATATTTATAAATTAAAATTATAGATTTATATTTAGTATGTTTTAATAATTATTATAACATTATTATATTACTATTTATCTTGTATAAATTAATATAACTATACATAATTAAATGATACTTATGATTATGAGTTGTGATATTATGTTTTAAACATTAGTAATTACTAATTTACTACATAAACATTAGCACAATACTTAATTAAATTATAGAAATTTAATAATTATAACATTACCTTATAAACATTTCATTATAAAATATTAAACATTACATTATAGTTAAATAATTACTCAATAAATTATAATATTATTATATTACATTATATATATGATCATTACTTAATTATAGAATTACATAGTTAATGATTTATAATTACTTAATAGTTATGAATTTATAACATACATTATAAACATTAGTAATTTATATATTATTACTTTACTTAATTAAACGATTAAAAATTTAATTAATTATAAAATACCTATATATTTATAATATAATTACTTAATCAATTATAACATTCTAATAAACATTAGTATATTGATCATATGATTTGAAATTTAATAATTATAATATTAAATTATAGATTTATAGTATGATTACTTAATTCATTATAACATACATTATACCATTATAGTATAATCATATAATTAATATATCATTATATAATTAAAGATTACTTAATTGATTATGAGTTATGGTATTATGTTTAAACATTAGTAATTACTAATTTATTAATAAACATTAGCCAAATATAATTAAATTTAAGAAATTTAATTAATTATAATATTACTTAAAACATTAATTAAGCATTACATTATAATTAAATAAACTCAATAAATATAATATTATTATATTACATATGTTATGATCACTTACTTAATTATAGCATTACATAGTTAAATGATTACATAATTACATAATTAGTTATGAATTTATAACTTACATTATAAACATTAGTAATTTATAATATTACATTACTAATTAAACGATTAAAAATTTAATTAATTATAACATACTTATATATTTATATGATACTATCAATTATAACATTCCATATAAGCATTAGTATATTAATTAAATGATTTGAAATTTAATATTATAATATAAATTATAGATTATGTATGATTACTTAATTCATTAAACATTACATTAACTATTATAGTATGATCATATAATTAATATAAACATTATAAATAAATGATTACTTAATTGATTATGAGTTATGATATTATGTTTAAACATTAGTAATGACTAATTTACTACATAAACATTAACACAATATTTAATAAATGATAAGAAATTTAATTAATTATAATATTACCTTATAAACAATTAAGCATACATTAAGTTAAATAATTACTCAATAAAATATAATATTATATATACATTATATATTAGATCACTTACTTAATGTAGGATTACATAGTTAAATGATTACATAATTACATAATAGTTATGAATTTATAACATTACATTAAACATAGTAATTTACTAATTTACTATATTATTACATACTTTGAACGATAAAAATTTAATTAATTATAACATACCTTATATATTATAATATGATTACTTAATCAATTAATATTTCATTATAAACATTGGTATATTAATCAAATGATTTGAAATTTAATTAATTATATATTAAATTATATATTATAGTATGATTACTTAATTCATTATAATATTACATTATACTATTATAGTATGATCATATAATTAATATAACATTAAATAATTAAATGATTAATTAATTGATTATGAGTTATGATATTATGTTTTAAACATTAGTAATTACTATTACATATAAACATTAGCACAATACTTAATTAAATGATAAGGAATTAATTAATATAATATTACCTTAAAACATTTCATTATAAACATTAATTAAGCATTACATTATAATTAAATAATTACTCAATTAAATTATAATATTATTATATTACATTATTATGATCACTTATTTAATTATAGCATTATATAGTTAAATTACATAATTACTTAATTAGTATGAATTTATAACATTACATTATAAACATTAGTATTTACTATACTATTACATTACTTAATTAAACGATTAAAAATTTAATTAATTATGACATTACTTTATTATTTGTAATATGATTACTTAATCAATTATAACATTCCATTATAAACATTAGTATATTAATTAATGATTTGAAATTTAATTATTATAATATTAAATTATAGATTTATAGATGATTATAATTCATTATAAACATTACATTATAACTATTATAGTATGATCATATATTAATAACATTAATAATTAATGATACTTAATTGATTATGACATTATATTATAAACATTAGTAATTTACTAATTTACACAATACTTAATCAAATTATTATAACATTATATTATAAATTTATGGTATGATTATTTAATTAATTATAACATTCTATTATAAATAATATTACAATACTTAATTAAATGATTAACAATTCAAGTGTTTCTTAGAGATTACAGGTTATGAGTTACATTGGACACAAATGAATGAATAATGAAAATTTGTTAGGGGTGTATTTGTAAACTTATAAGGTATTTTTGTTATTTTTTAAACTAATAGGGGGTAATTGACTTTTTACAAGGTACCCTGAAAAGGAATCGGAACCTGCATTTTAGGTTCCGGTTCCTTGAATTGAAGAACTTGCACTATGCGGTTCCGATTCCGGTTCCTTTTTTAAGGAACCTGCACTGTGCAGTTCCGGTTCCGGTTCCTTTTTTTAGGAACATGCACTGTACGGTTCCGGTTCTGGTTCCCTCGGAAAATACAGGGTACCCGGAACCGCTCACCCCTACAGTCTTGTCACCTATCAAGTTTCAAAACTGACACTTTCCCCACCCACCCTTATGTTCCATTAGCAAAATATGTTCTCTAGCATTGTAAAAACAATAGAAAGACGAAAATACCCTCTTTCATTCTTTTTTTTCCTTTCTCCTTCTCTACCTCTAATTCCGGTTGTGATTCCGACTAATCCAACCTTCTCGCCACAATCTTTTCACAAAAATCAACTCACAAAATCTTCACTATTATCCAAATCAACACACTACACCATCACCCATATCCAAATCAACACACAACAACATCATCCAAATCAAAACAAAAATTAAAAAAAAAAGTTGGTTGGACTTTTCTCACCTTCTCATACCAATTGGTTAGAATCGCACTCGGCCAGGTGGGTTCTGCCAAACCAACTCCACAATCAACGCAAACAAAAACTCTAATGAGTGAACGTTTGTGGTTATGGGGGCTTGAAAGGTTAAGGATGCTAGGTAGTGGGGGTCGAGTAGATGAGAGAATGGTGAGGAGGGGGTGGCCTCAATTGCTAGGTGTTCGACACGATTGGAAATTCAATCTTGCGAGTTCGATAACAGGTGGGTGGTACAACATTTTCCAGGTAGGAAGGTGGCAGATGGTTGCTGGTAATGTTTGGGGTTGGTGAGGGATGATGAATGGTGGCCAGGGAAGTCGTCGGAGGCGACAAGTTTGGCCTACAAAAAAAGTCGCACTTGACCGGAATCCTTTCACCTTCTCACACGAATTTCCCATCAACCACAAGAACATAATCTACCTAATATGGCGCCCGACGTTACAATGCAAGATTTGTGTAGGGTTGTTTATGGGTTCCATTACTTTACGAGTGCAATTCCGGCTGATTGGTGGGGGTGAAGGATTTTGGGGCGGCAGGGTGGGGAAGAGTTTAAAAGGGTTTGAGTCAGGTTTTTTTTTTTTTTTTTTTTTTTTAAGTTTATATATAGGGGATCAAATGACAGAATTACCCCTTGACTGTTTTTCTAATTTACTATTTAGTCATTTTTCAGTTAAACTTAATAGATGGATCTTAACATGGGTAATAAAGTTGCATTTTGAAACATTTTGTTGGGAAAATGTCATTAGGCCAAACCTTGGGTGGGCAATTTTACTCTTATTAATAGCTGAATAGTTTTAGGCTTTTAGCCTATTAGGGACATAATTAATTAATTTACTTTGTAAATTTTTTTGTATTTCCAAGAAATATAATCATAGTATAAATTTAACAAATAAAAATGGTCATTCTCTCCGACGTAGCAGTTTATAATTGGTCAATTCATAAATGAGTCTCATTTGCTTTGAGGATCTTACTATTTGACTAATTACGAGTTGCCACGTTAATAGTTATAAGAACAAATTATGAAAGTGAATTGTGGACCTAGAATTACTGTTTAACAAAAGCAGACTTCCTATCCAAATCCAAATTCAGTTCTAATTGTACTTGTATCTTGTAAGAGCATCTTCAAAAGACTCTTTATATAACTCGAACTCTTTATTATAAAGAGTTTGTTTATAAAAACAATAGTCTAAGAGCATCTCCAATGGTGCTCGCATTTTCATTCATTTTTAAATATAAATAACAAAAAATTTATTCAAATCCAATAGACTTTTTAAATTTTTGGAGAAATAATATGTTTTTTCAATAAAAAAACTTAACAGGAGAGATAAATAATAAATAAAATGCATAGAAACTTGTAATTTATTATTTAAAATTAGGATAGAGAGTGAAATTTGACTCTCTAGACGTGGAGAGTCAAACTCACTATATAATTTATATTTAAAGAATAAGGAGACTGTTGAACTCTTATTTTTATGGATAAATTCTTTATAATAAAGAGTTTGAGTCATATAAAGAGTCATTTGAAGATACTCTAATAGACTCTTTAGAGCATCTCTAAATGACTCTTTATATGCCCAAAATTCTTTATTATAAAGGATCTATCCATAAAAACAAGAGTGTTCTTTATCTTTAAAATATAAATTAGAGAGTGGGTTTGACTCTCCACATTTAGAAAGTCAAATTTCACTCTCTATCCTAATTTTAATTAATAAACTACAAATTTCTATGTATTCTATTTATTAATTTTTTCTCCCATTAAGTATATTTCTTAAAAATAAAGAGTATCTTCATTAAATTTAAAGACTCTTTCTTAAAAATAGAGAATATCTTCATTAAATTTAAATAGTCTATTGGATTTGAATAAAAATTGTATACTTTATATTTAAAAATTAATGAAGATGCTATCCAAAATAAAGAACACCATTGGAGATGCTCTTATTCTTTAAATATGAATTAAAGAGTGAGTTTGACTCTCTACATCTAGAGAGTTAAATATTACCCTCTATCCCAATTTTATTTAATAAATTACAAGTTTCTATATATTTAATTATTACTTATCTCTTCTATTATGTCTCTCTCATATTTATTAAATCTAATTTAAAGAGTCAATTGGATTTGAATAAAAAATTTTGTTCTTTATATTTAAAAATTAATAAAATGTTTTTTATTTATATAAAAATTGTTATTGAAAATGTTTTCCGCTAAAAAAAATAATGCATTTGTAACCGAGACTATAACGAAAACATATAATTTTTGTCATTAAATTACGCCCATTATTTACAAGAAATATTTATTTGGATACATTTATGATTATGAACACTTAAATTAAAGAAGTAAGAGAGAAAACGCTACTAGCTCACCTCACCTCACCTCACCTCACCTCACCTCACACTCCAAACTAAAAAAGAGAGAATAACAAGTAAATTAACATGCTAACTGGTCTCTAAATGAAGAAATCTCTTCAAAGATGGGAAGCCTTTTGGATCTAGAAGGAGCCCATTCATTTATCATTTGTTCAAGCCCCTTCACAAAATCATCATCCAGATTAAAACCCACAGCATCCGACAAATCCGGTATCGGTTGCCTTGACTCCAGCTCTTGTAACAATCCCTCAGCCCGCTTTCTTGCTTTGCAATCCTCTGATCCTGGAACTCTGCCTTCTAACACATGTTGAAGAACTGACTGGGCTTCATCGAATCGGGCCTGTTTCATTAGGCAGAAGCCCAAGTTGCATGCCTTATTGGCATCTGGGTCGATCATCTGAGCTTTCTGATACACCACCTCCGCTGCCATGTAGTTTAATTTCTGCATGTACGCCCAACCCAAATTGCCCTGCAAGTTCATTAATAATGTGTATTAGCTATTTTAGTGGCAACTGCCAACACGATGACCATACTCGTCTCTGTCGTCATATATTGTAGTTCATTAATTTTTCTTTCAAGTCTCAATGATCAGTGTTTTGATTGAAGATTTTTATAATTTGTCCCACAAAATGTATGAATGTGGCTTCAACAAGAAGTGGAATTTTGTTTTCATTTGTAGGTAGCTGGTGAATGCAAAGAGAACAATTAAATTGGAAAAACTGACGTACCAGTAATCTCGAAGTTTCTTGCTTGACGGAAACTTGAAATTTCTTGCCATGAGAGCGTGCAGTCTTTGTAGGTTTTCCATGGAAAACCTCTCCTTGATATATAAGTCTTAGCTTTCGTTTTATCATCTCAATCTGCTCATCTATTTTCCCACATTTCTACAAATTCCATTAATGATTAGTTAATTACCATCAAAATCAAAATCCAAAGCAAAACGGGTATAAGCTAGGGTTATACATTATTAAACTCAAAATTAAGAAGCTAGATATTGTTTACGTTCAATATAAATTTGATGATGATGAGACATATATTTATATATATGTACCTTGTACAAGTCAATAAGGACGTTGTCAAGAGAATCCTGAGCTTGTTTGGAGCAAAGACGTCTAAAAGACTTGATGGCTTCAATGGCTTCTTCACTTCTATCGAGTTGCTTCATCACCACTGCCATGTCTTTTAAAGCACTATCTACTCTATCTCCCGCATTTATTGCCTTCCAGAACAACACTATAGCTGCTTCTGGATCCTTTTGAACTAGCTGCAAATCGTTCAACTACTTCATTATTCAAGATTTCTTCAAGTACAATACCATTGAACCTAGCTAGCCAACCTAGCTAGCAAATCAAGGATCCAAGAATATAATTCATATTGTTATTTTAAAACCTTGAATAAGCTTAGCCTACAGGCATGATAAGAGAGAACAAAATTAAGAAGAGAAAGTAGAACAAATTCACACTAAAAGAACAAAATTTGATCATTATAATGTACTTTTTAAAGAGTTTAAACGATGGATCGACTTATTTGATGTATCTAGGTAGCTCGCTCGTTCTTATTTGATTAATTCCATAATTTAGTTCAAACTAATTATAGAAAGCCTTCAAAGCCTAAGATTACAAAGAAAGTAACAAATTAACGGGAAGAATCGAATTAAAAAAAGAACCTGAGCATGTTTAGCTCGAACATAAGGGCCATCACCAGCAGGAACTTTGTGAATAACATGAAATAGATTTTCTTTATTTCTTGGACTAGTCTTCTTTGAACTCCCTTCCATACTTTCTCTTGTCATCAGTAAACGCTGTTTCTGATGAGATAAAGAAGAAACAGCTAAGCGAAGCAATGATAGATCGAGATATACATTTTATAGATAGAAGCAACTGTAGGAATTGGACGTGAACCTGGCTGACATAACGTCTACATTCCGTAGTCTGAATTTCAACACTCCTGCCACGTATATCATTGGCGCACGTGTCATTGCAGGGCAGGTCTCTCAATGGGTTTAACCGTCCAATTTAATAAAAAAAATATTTATTTATGTTAATTCTGATCTAACCCTGATACAGTATAACCTATTTAGATTAACTTTGATCTAACTACAACATAGAATATCGAGAATTGGCCTCAAATTCTTTTATTTAGTTGTCATAAACATAAGTAGCTTCTTCATTAATAGAAACACATGTTTCTATTATCACTATTAGAAAAATATACATTAAATCACGTGACGTCATTCTAACCATCGATTAATTATAAATTTCTTCTTTTAAGAAAATAAGATGACGTTACGTCATTTAATATATAAATTCGATACATAATCTTTTATAACTATAACATTGCTCGTCACTATTATTATAGTGAATTGATACCGTTTATCAGGCTCATCTTAATGTTAAAACACACGTTAAAGTTTAAGCCAAGTGGATGAGGTCGCGAAGACAAAATATAAAAGGTAGCCATACGGATGAACCTGGCCTGTAAAGCTGTCAAGTTCATCTCTCAGTCAAGCAGATAGATTATGCAAAAATATTCTGGAAATTGGAAGTGATAAAAGTGTTGCTTAATGATAATTGTGCAGTAATGTTAATATCAGTGACGTAGGGCGGGGCAGCCAGAAAAGGAAAAGTCTAAAAACGAGACAAAAATGAATCTGGACAAGTTCATGGACTAATTGAAAGGAGGTTTTAATTAATGAACTTAGACATCTTAATTAACATCTTTACCCTTTCTCTCTTAACATTACATTACTTTCATAAAGCCTGCGTTGTTAAATTTGTATACGTGTGCTTGATTCTTGTATAAGAATATTAACATCTGAAAGATTATTGGATTTTTCTTCTTTATATATATGAGACTTGATTACTTCATACAAATCTTAACTGCCATGGACTTATCTCTAATCTCTTTTTGTCGTAGAAAATAACAAGGGAATGTTATTACTTCAATACATCAACTTTGTTCTCTCATTGCTACCATTTTGCTTGCCACCGATTTTCTGAAGTTTGGTACATCTTGCAAAAGTCCGAATCATATACTAGATCTAGAATAAAATATCCATTTTATGTCCAAAATGAAATAAGCTTTTGCACCCGTAAAGCTTAAAATTTTCGATTCCCAAACAAGCTGATGGGTTTTGGTATGTATAAAAAAATGAAAAAAGTTGCAAAAGTTTAGCCTCCCAATACCACACAGATACTGCACTGGGCTTCTGTGGTTCAGGAATACTCCCATTTTTGTGGCCTCTAATCAAATAGAAAATGTAGGACAATTCTTGCAATGGAATGAAGAAAAATGGAGGTAAAATTATGAACATAATATTAGCAACCATAACTGTGAACGAATTACAGCAATCATAAAATGACTACTTGCTCTTGGCTAAATGCAAAAAAAGACCCTTAAAAAAAAAAAAATAACCTTGCCCACATTCATATACTTTTAGAGAAAAGAACACCAAACCACTGCTTAACAACGCTGGAGATCATAAGCCACATTTCACGCTATTAATAGTAGTACTCCCATAAAATCTTCCTCACTGGCAAAGGCAAGCATTTAGCTAAAGCAGAAAAGAACACCAACCCCTGACTATTGCTTAATAGCCACCACCCCTTGATCGCCCCCCCATCCTTCCACGGCCACGGCCGTAACCTCTGCCCCCTCCACCTCTGCCTCTTTCATATCCGGTTCCTATCAAAAAAGCATGTGCTTCCATTGATCAGCTAATAACTTGTTTAACACAAACATGCCAGCAAAAATCAAGTTCCTGGCTTGCAAAAATATATAGACCTGATTGTAACTCTTCTATGCGGTATATGAATGATTATGTTCTTCAGGTTAATAATTCCAATGTTAAGTAAAAAAATTTAAAAATCTAATTTTCAAGATTACTTCCGTATTCAAATATTTATTCAACCACATAATGTCAACAAAAATTTAGTTTCTTAAATTCATCACATGCCACATAAAGGATAGTCTTTTTGGTTTGCAAATGCAGTACAGAAGCAACTTACCACGATAACCCCCGCCTCTGCCTCGCCCACCACCTCTGCCCCAGTTTGAATACCCATCATTTTCTATCAGAAAAAAGGACTGAAGTAAGATAACTTAAAAGACCAAAATGAATACCCTTGACACACATCTAACAGGAAAAATGAAAAAAACAGTTATAGAAAATAAATAAGAAAATAAAATTTCTCAATTTAAACACAATTCAATATTCAAAGTACCTTGATAGTGTCCATATCCACCCCTGGCAAAACCCCGCCCTCGCCCCCTACCACGACCCTGGCCTCGGCCATATGAATCTAAAAGTCAAATGCTGGAGACATGTTAAGATTAAAAATAATAATAATAAAATAAAATAAAATAAAAGGTGTTTGAATTATAATTGCAATTAATCAACCTATTGCTGACGTTACCTTCATTAACAGCATTGTACGGAATACGCCCTTGTCTGGGTGGTTGTTGTTGTTGCTGATACTGATAGCGATACTGTGGTTTTGGTGGTTCCACATTAGATGGAGCTTGGTACCTGTGAAAATGTATTCCAATTCATATTGAGAATGTGAAAATAAGAAATTCAGATGGAATAAAATAACATTTACAATTATCAAAAAGGAAATCACAGCACAACAGTCTTTACCATAATAATTAACTAGCATCTTAACTTATTTAGAATATTCCAAAGCAGCACAAACACTTCTATTACAATATAGATTAATGAACCTACCCAGGAGAGTTTTTGTTTAGTTCTCTGGCTGATAAGGTTATTGAAATCATTGAGACATGTCGAGTCATCTCCACACTGCATCAGACATTAATGATGAGGTATATAGAAATAGTAGAATCAAAATAAGTACATTATTCCATACGAACTCTGCAAACTTACGGAACAAGACCCTCTTCGATGGGTTCCCATATATCAGTTATGCTAACAGAGCTGATGGCAGTATCTTGATGCAACCGAGGAATTCTTTTCTGTTTTAAGATACAGATGGCTAATTAAATGTAGTAGATAAATGAATAGAGAGAGGAAGAGAGAGAGAAAGGGTAAGGAGGAACTTGCAGACATTTTAAATAAGATAGTACCTTTATAATCTCAGCAATGGCTACTGTCTTGTTGATTGCCTGTCCCATTGCTTTTAAGACAATCTCCTTCCCACGTTTCTCCTAATAAAACATCACAGGAAGGTAAATAACAATACCCACAATTCACATTTTCTGCTAAAAGATGAACTAACAATCACTCTTAGCCATTCTGATAACATAAGACCACTCTTAACCATTGTGATAGCATAAGACCAGCAGATAACAAGTAGAGCTGAGAAAAAAAGGGGAGGGAGAGACAACTGTCTGGAAACTGCCCAAACATAAACCTAAACAACCAATTTCGTAAAATGTAATTCAAGTGTGAAACCATGCCATGAATTCCAAATGTAAGTGGGTTCAGCAAATGAATCAAAAGCAACAACAAACTTGAGCAGTAATAGGCTTTTAGATGTAAGGCTCTCAGATGGCTGAAGACATTCAACTAGGGAATGTGAAGACTCAGCACATACTGAGAAGTTAAAGGGAAAGTCCAATAAAAGAAGCAGGTGGACAACCAGGTGTAACTAATGCAAAATGTAAGCATCGCAACTATCAACATTAATTCTGAGAAACGTAGTGCAAATAGACTAGCCCGTACATAGAAGCACAAACGACCATTCAAACTTCAGGAGGATATTCCTAAAAGGACTCAATATCAATGGATTCAGGGTCTCATCTTGATTCCTTTTTTTCATTCTTCTGGGGCATAATATCCTTAATTCACCCATAAGGGAAAAAGAAAAACACCAAACAAATGATCACAAACACAAGAAAACTCTTTAAATGGAGCGCTTAACAACGAACAATCTACAAGCGCTTTATAGCATAAAATCCAATAACAACAACAGTGTGAACTATTAATTAGAAACATATCATCCAAACATTACAAAAACCAATCCAAAACTCATTATTAATACACAATAACTAGCCCAAAAGTAACCCAAGTACCATATCAAATAATCATACCATTGGTTCAAAATCCATCAAAATACAGACTATTAGAATCATCAATCAACAAAAAACAAACAGAAACTCACAATCCTTAAAAGCCACCCATGCACAAAACCCTAGTACTCAAGCCGAATATCCGCAACACAGACACCACCAATGAGTACTCACAAAAACAAACGCAGAAACACCTCCACAAACAAATACAATAATATTCATATGAAAAGGGTACCTGAAGAAGAGTAGTCGCATAGGTTATGTAGTTTCTGATAGCGCCTAGCGTTGTGATACGGATCTCGTTCTCGTTTATGGGAGACTCGGGTTTCGGTTTTTCCACCTTCTGGTATCTATCCATTTGTGAAGCTAAAACCCTAGCAAAGTTGCAGAGATTTGTTTGATAAAGAAAGTAAAGGCTAAAACCTCTGCCTTGCCTTACATCATATTTTTAAACTTTGGTTTTTTATTGGGTTTTGTTGTTTCAGGGTACGGAGTTATAGCCTTTCCTCACGCGAAAGAGAGAGCGCGTGTACAAACTTGAACTGGGATTGGTTATGGTGTGTTTTCGTGGTTCTTGGATTAGTTTTCTTGAGGCTGAGGCAGCAGGGTGTATTGAGTTTTTGTATTATATTATTTTATTTTTAAAGGGATGTTGTTAGTGATAATGATGACAGAGTTTATTAACGATGTTGCATGTAGCTATTCCTATTCGATTGTTCTTAAATGAATCTTTTGAGGGGCGTTTGGTTGGGATAATGTGGTATTATTGAGTTAAATCATCTTATATTACTTGATTATTATGTTTGATTGTTAAGTAATATAAGATTTCGATAATCTTTAAATATTAAGAGTAGTTATTGCTAGTAATATTAAAGACAGTTTGATTACTTCCATTTTTTTTAGGTATTATAAAATTATCAGGGTAATCTTTTTTTATTATAATTCTATCCCTTATTAATAAAACTTTAAGACAATAATACCCTTATTTTTAAACTTATTTACATGAATGTTGCTTTTACTATTTCACCATCATTAATTAACTTTTTGGACAAAATTACCCTTGAATTCAAGACAAATTGTAGCCCATCCAAGCCACCACCCCCACCCACCTACCGCTGCTTGTTGCCGACAACCACCACGATCTGGCCGTTGATGGCCAGATATCTTGCTGGAAATAGCCATATCAGCGCACGACGACCATTTCAGACCTTCCATGCGCCGTCAGGTTGTCGGTTGCCAACGGCCGACGGTGGTTATCGGCGGTCGGCAATGGCTAGGTTGGTGAGGGTGCTTTGTTGATTTTCCAAACTTTTATTATGAGGTTGTTTTTGCTAAGTTTTTAAATGCAGGGGGGTTATATAATCCAAATAATAATCAATATTAAAAAATAATATAATAATAATATTTAATTATAGGACAATTCAGTAATTTAAATAACATACCCACAAATTTATTTCTCCCAACCAAAGGCTTCGTTTGGTTGGATTTTGGGAATACTACTTTTAGTATTCCCAAAAAAGTTAAACAGTAAAATACCAAAAAACTCACAATATCATTCAACTTTATTCAACATTTTTTAAACCCTCTAAATTTGTTAATTCAATTAAATACCCCTAAATATTTTTAATGTTTTTNTTAATCCTAGAATTAAATTAGCAGGTTTAGAAAATGGTTTTGACAATTTATGTGAAAATTTACAAACCGAAGTATATGTCAATCAAATAGGAGAGGTAAAAAATACACTTTTTGAAGTATATTTCCAATATGAAAATAGGTATGGGAACCCGCAAAGAGGCAAAACATCCAGGGAAGCTACATTAGAAGAAACAAATGAAGACTTCTACTCTTTGGGTGCACTGAATAGGCCGAAGAGGACCCGAATCTGAAGCACAGCCTCCTCTTCAGAAGCTCCACCACCAACAACAATAACTAATGCACTATCTTCCATGCAGTCGCAAAGTAATGAGCTTCAACAACATTTGGTAACCCCTGAAATGTTATCAGTAGATCCACAATAGAGACCAACATTGATCTCTTAGACTATTGGAGAGTCAGAAAATGTATTTTTTCGGTATTATCAAGACTTGCCTTGGATGTTTTCGTTGTTCCTGTCTCAACCGTCTCATCCGAACAAACATTTAGTGCAAGTGGAAGAATTTTAAATGAAAGGAGGACTAAACTTTCACAAAAAATGATTGAAGTCCTCACATGTCTTCGATATTGGGAACGGTCGCGCCATCAAGGTCAATACGAGGTTGTCGACGATACTTTAATAGAATCATTTCAATTTTATAATATAGATGATACGGATGAGAGAGGTCCTAGTGAACCCCAAAATTAGTTGTTTTGTAAATTGTAACTTGTAAATTAATTGTCAATTATTGCACTCTTTTTTCCTTACCAAGTTTTTGTCCCATTAGGTTTTTCTTGATGAGGTTTTAACGAGACAATAATTATTGTAATTTCTTATTTTATTTTTTAATAAATGAATAAATTTAATTATTCTTATATTATAATTTTAATGTATTAAAATTGAATTAATATTTGGAATGTTAACAAAAAAAAATTTAATTTAATTTAATTATTGATATTTGAAAAGAAATTAACACTTAACTAAAAACAATTACATTTATTCATTTATAAATTGTTAATTATTCATTTGAAAAGTTAATTAAACATTTAAACTTAAACAAAATAAAAAAATAATAATAATAAAAAAGAGGGTTAACCCAGCCCAACCCGCGGCCTAACCCGGCGGGTTAGGGTTGGCTGTCCAGGTTGGGCCAGCCAATTCTCCAACATTGGTGGGCCTAACCCGGCCAACCAATGTTGTCGGGCGGGTCAGGATCGACCCGCTGTGGGTCGGGTCGGGTCGGGCCGGCTGCTTTTCCACCTCTATGTGCATCCATGGATTTTTTGAACATTTCTTTGGGAATTTTTTATTAAATATTATGGTTGATGATTTAACTCTATTTCCATCAACCACTTCCACTCTCTGCAAGACTGCAACAAATCATTGCTAACAATGCTACCTGAAATGAAAACGAACTTATTATTCAAGTTTATTTACTTACAAAGAGTTTTCCATCTTGGTGCAACACAATAATTTAGTGTACAACCTAAAAAACAAAGGACCTGTTTGATAGGTTATTTGAAAAAAATGTTATTTTGAAAAACTATCTGAATAGAATAGAATATATTAAATAGAATAAGATAAGATTCTGACAATGTGTTTAATATAATACTTGAAAATTATATCAGAGTTAGATAAAAGACTGAATAATTGTTTGATACATTTTTGGAAAACATTTTCTAAAAATATTTAGATTATTTTAACCCCCTACATTTGCTAATTTAGCTAAACACCCCTCACAATAAAACTTTATAATTTACCAAAAATACTCCACAATAAAACTTTATAATTTACCAAAAATACTCCACAATAAAACTTTAAAATTTAACAAAAACACACTCACAATAAAACTTTAAAAATTAACAAAACCACCCCCCAAAATGAAGTCGTCAACGACGGCCAGATCTCTGGCTATAGATTTAGCCATTTCTGACTAGATCCATGGTGGATCTGGCCGGAAACGACAAGATCGGTGCACAACCAATCAGATTCAACTGGTCATGCGTCGTTCCAATGCCGGAGGTGGCCGTTTGTGGCAACAGCGACAGCTGCTGGCGACGAACAGTGGCTTGGGTGGGTGAGGGTGTTTTTGTTAATTTATAAAGTTTTTATTTGAAATGTAATTGTTTTTAGTTGAATAGAGTTGAAAAAATATTAGAATAAAATAATTAAAAACAAGTCCTACCCACTTTTCATTTTCAATAGAAAAAATATTATTTTATTTGGATTGATTTTCAAAATAATAATCTTAATAAATAAACAAACAAACACATATTTTGTTTCTTAATCCAAATAGGATAACAAAAAAATGATTTGAAAGAGTGAAACACATGGGGGGAAATCAATTGAATTTTACAATCATAATCAATATGAATAAAAAATAACAATTAACACAAACACCGCCACCATATCACCCTTTGTTTGGTTGTTGAGAAAATGAGAAAATTTATTTTCTCATATTTTCTTGGAAACCAAACAGAAAATGAAAAGGGCAAGAAGTTGAGATTCAATGAGTGTTTGGTTGCTGAGCAAACGAAGAATTTTTTTTTTTTCTCGGCAACCAAACAGAAAACTATGAGATCAATCGATTCACAGGGAAGTCCAAAGAGCTACGGTGCAGCTAGGGTTTAAGGTTCCAAGGCATAGTGTAATGATGATAATATCCTTACTCTGTTATAAATAACGTGTAACCTTGAATTTTGGGTAAAACATGATATTTTTCGAAACCAGGGGTAGAAAGTAGATTTACAAAACCTAGGGTGTGAAATTGTATTTCGGCCTTAGTTAAGCAATAATTATCCATGGTGTTTATTGATGGAATTGACCGCACACATTTGACGCACTCTGACGCAACTAAGGCTTTGTTAAGCACATTATTTCTATCCGTATTTCCAATCTTATTCCCAAAATATTGTTTGTTTTGTTATTTGAGAAATATTAGTATATTTTTTAATTGCTTTTAGACCCCTTAAGTTTATTAATTTCATTAAATACCTCCAAAAAAAGTTTAAAAATTAACAAAAATACCCCCACCCACCCATACTTGTCAGATTCCGGCAACCACCGTCGGTGGTGGCCGGAATCTTTCACAACGGCCTACAAATGATCGGAACTGGCCGGCAATTCACCGATCTGACGGCCAAAGAAATGGCTATTTTTGACGGTCAACGACGGCCAAATCTTGGCCATCGTTGACCGACAATGACGACCATATCTTTGGTTATCGCTGACGGTTAAATCTGGACTTTTTCGACTATCGACAGCCAGATCTGGCCTTTTCCGGCCAGATCCGTGGTGGATTTGGCCGAAAAATGCCATATTGACACCCTACCAGCCAGATCCGACCGGTCTGCGTCGTAACGCCATTTTTCGGCCAGATTTTGGCGGTGGCACTGTGGGTGGATGGGGGTGTTTTTGTCATTTTACAAAAATTTTATATATTGGGGTGTTTAGTTAAATTAGCAACCCTAAGGGGTTTTTTTTACAAATTTTTAAATTTTACCTCGTAATACTCTCCTATTCAACTACCAAATATTATTTCTAAAATCCTATCCAAAATAATAAAACAAACTGACCCTAAGCTTCCAATTCCTATTCCATATTAAGATAACTTGGCTTAATTAACTCCACTAAATTTATTAATTAATCTAATCTAACTTTTTATTCAAGTTGCTTGTTCTACAAATTTAACTGAAAGCAAGAAATAAAGTCATTTTCAAATAAAAATCATCTATTTTCTTCTAATCTTGTCATTGACGATTTAACACTCTATAAACCAAAGAAAGATTATTTGTACTCTACATCAAATACAAATTTAACTGAAAGCAAGAAATAAAGTCATTTTCAAATACAATTCATCTATTTTCTTCTAATCTTGTCATTGACGATTTAACATTCTATAAAAAAGTAAAAACCAAAGAAATATTATTTGTACTCTACATCAAAAAGTTACCTAATTTAATATACTTTTACTTAAGAGTATGGATTACATTTTACTAGGTACTGCCAGTATTTTCACTTTTCAAATAAGTCTTACCCCTTTCTTCTATCGTCAATTTCACAAAAGTATATTATAAATCTTATCATTCACATATTACTGTTTATGACTGTGACAAAATAAAGGGCTCTGTTTTAGTTATGTCTTTTTTTTTTTTTTTTTTTTTTTTCTTTTTTTTGGTGATTGAGATATCCGAACCAGTTTACATGTAGCTCAACTAATTTTCAAGACTCTAAAATTAACGATTGGATAAACCTCTAGTGGGTACTCCTACTAACAATTAGGTAAATCTAACTCATGATTTCTTAAATAATACTTTAAGAATCTCTATTTAACCACTCGGACACCCAAGAATGGTTTAAGGGTCCGTTTGTTTTATTATTTTGGATAGGATTTTAGAAATAATATTGGGTAGTTGAATAGAAGAGTATTACGAGGTAAAATTTAAAAATTTACAAAAAAACTCCTAGGTTTGCTAATTTAACTAAACACCCCAATATATAAAAAATTTATAAAATGACAAAAACACCCCCACCCACCCACAGTGCCAGATTTCGGCCACCACCGTCGGAATTTGGCCGAAAAATGGCGTTACGATGCAAACTGGTCAGATCTGGCGGGTAAGGCGTCGATATGGCCTTTTCTGGCCAGATCCACCACGGATCTGGTCGGAAAAGGCTAGATCTACGGCTATATCTGGTTGTCGACTGTGGGAAAAGTCCAAATCTGACCGTCAACGATGGCCAAAGATATGGATGTCGTTGTCAGTCAATAATGGCCAAGATTTGGTGATGGCCAAATCGGTAAATTACTGACCAGTTCTGGTCGTTTGTAGACCATTGTGATATATTTCGGCTACCACCGACGATGGTTGTCGAAATCTGACAAGTATGGGTAGATAAGGGTGTTTTTGTTAGTTTTTAAACTTTTTTTGAGAGTATTTAATAAAATTAATAAATTTAAAAGGTTTAAAAATAATTAAAAAAATATACTAATATTTCTCAAATAACAAATCAAACAATATTTTCGGAATATGGGTAAAAATAATGTGTCAAACCAAGCCAATGGCTACTTTTAGTTATGCATAGGTAGACCGTAGACTTAGACTATTTGATAATGAATTTAAAAGCGAAATTCAAAATTCAAACTAAGAAACTGCGTGGCATTTCGGTTAATCCACCTGAACTTGGAGGGTAGCTAAACTAGAAACAACTCCTCCCAAACGCTACAAAGCATTTAGCTTCTCCCCTAAGCGAGAACTCTCTCAACTGACAACAATAAAATCGTTCGTTTGATAAATCTGCTGCAACAACTACAACAACAACAAAGCCTCCAAACATTTTTTTTTCTCTCTTAATAAACATATTTCTCTTTGCTAGGGTTAGTTGTTGTTGTTGTAGTAGTTGTAGACTCGTTTTAGTGATCAGAAATGGGGCAGCAGTCGTTGATCTACAGCTTCGTGGCTCGTGGAACCGTCATACTAGCAGAGTACACCGAGTTCACCGGAAACTTTACGAGCATAGCAGCACAGTGTCTCCAGAAACTTCCTGCTAGTAACAAGAAGTTCACTTACAACTGCGATGGCCATACTTTTAACTACCTCGTTGATGACGGCTTCAGTATATCATCTTTCTCTCGTTTCCTGTGATATTCATTTTATTTTATTTCTCATTTATCTTCTGATCTGTGCGTTTCTTGCGTTTGTTTGTGATTATTCTGATCGGATTGTAAGATTTTAGATTTTGAATGATCAGGTGTATGACCGACAGTTTGTGCTTTGTAGATTTGGTTTTGGATTTAAGTTTATTGTTCATTAATTATGCAAGTATATTTTGAAGCTAAGTGATTGTTACTTTGCTCAGTTTGATGGAAAATAGTAGTTTATTTTTTAGTGGTTAAGTTTGCACGGATCGTGCTTATTTAGTTTGTAGAGTTTGATTTGATCTGATTGTTTCGGATGTTTGTTTCTGACGTTGCTGAGAAATCCGAGACAACTTCAATAATAGAATCAATTAGTTTTTATGTATTTGCTATGTTTGGTTGCCTAAATTAGGGAAGCTGGTTTTGCTTCCGGTTAATGTTTCTGTTCTTTTGATGATGTAAGTTACTGACTCCTCTTAATTGTGTTTATATTGGAATACTTATGGGTGAACTATAGTTTGGGCTTAGATAGTGTTGTGAAGAATAGATATTAATGCTTTTATTTCTAACTTTGAGTTTTAGATGGTATTTTACCTGTTCAGTTTTCAGAACTTCAGATCCATCATTGTTATTGGTTGGTTTTTTAAGTCTTTGTTATATGATCGGTGTTCTTGACCATTGGTTGGATTTGATAGTGTGAATGCAGTTAATCATGAAAAATTGTTGTTTGGATATCTATTTGTCTATTTTCAAAAAGGAATTAAGGGTTGCAGGCAATAGTATTCTCTGTTAGTCTGAAGCTGATAATAGAATTAATACGTTCAAATTTCAGTGATTGAGTAGTGTTTAATGACCACAAAGCTAGAGTAGGTATTTCTGGTTTTGATAACTTGATGAAGTCTTTTCCTATTGGTTCACTTCTTGGACTCTTGCTGTCTCCTATTTTACTCAATTTTGAACCTTTTTCTTGTCCTTCAATTTATTGAGAAAACTAACCAAATCTTTGAATGTCGCAGCATACTGTGTGGTTGCTGTTGAATCTGTTGGCCGACAGCTTCCAATTGCCTTCCTTGAGCGAGTAAAAGAGGATTTTACCAAGAAATATGGTGGAGGAAAAGCTGCGATGGCAGTTGCTAACAGCTTGAACAGGGAGTTTGGGTAATCTTTCTCGCTCTATTCTGAGGACTGTGTTATGAAATGGCTTGTGTCTTCTATCTATGCCACACAATATACATTAATGCTGTAATTTTTTTTTTTTTTCAATGATGTAGGCCCAAGTTGAAGGAGCAGATGCAATATTGTGTTGATCATCCGGAGGAGATCAGCAAGCTGTCTAAAGTGAAGGCTCAGGTTTCAGAAGTGAAAGGTGTTATGATGGAAAACATTGAGAAGGTAAGGCATTCCTGTTGAAGCTTCTATTTGCTTGTTTGTGTGCTACGAATACAGTTATTTTCTTTTTATGGCTGTGCCTCTGCTTTTTTGATGGAATATGGTGTTCTGTTGCGAGTAATAAATCTATGTACAGGTTCTTGACCGTGGAGAGAAAATTGAGCTTCTGGTGGATAAGACAGAGAATCTTCGCTCACAGGTCAACGACGATTACTAAATTTGGCAATATTTTCTAAAGCTAGCTGATGTGATAATGTAAATTCCGTTGTTTCTGGTGTTGCAGGCACAGGATTTCAGGCAGCAGGGAACGAAGATGAGAAGGAAGATGTGGTTGCAAAACATGAAGATAAAACTGATAGTTCTGGGAATCATAATTGCCTTGATTCTCATCGTAGTATTGTCCATTTGTGGTGGCTTCAAATGTTGATGTTTACCTTACTCTCCACGAAGATTGTTTTTGCTTGTCGAAAAGTTTTCACTATGCCAGTTTTCCTACAGATTTTGCAGTCTCTTTCCGCTATAGCTTTAATCAGGAACGGTGCTTGTATGTTTGTATTTGAATTCATTTGTTACGAGGTCTTCCGTGTGTGGAAATTTGTCATTCCTTTTGATTTGAAACATCATCTGTTGAAAATAACTGACTGATTACAGAGATTGCGTTTCACCTTCTTGCAGTTACTGCAACAGTGAACTTCCACTCAAACATTTGGTCAACTTTCCTTTGCGGGATGATTATTCTGGTAATAGGTTTTCTTTTTCTTCAGACCAATTAAATGATATTACCCATTACATTAGTTTGTGCACCTTAAATGAATTTTGTTTCTGTAAGTTCACATATTATACATTAATGCTACCTTATTAAATTTAAAACCACCATATCCATATCCAAGAGTGCAGTCCAGATTCCAGTCTCTAATTCGGGTGAACCATCTCAGAAACACCCATATAATCATTCAATAAAATACAACAAACATTCATTTTTGCTTATTTTTTGTGTTACAATTTACAAAACAAAATTTGATCGTCTATCCAATAGTTAATTGAAACTCAGAATGAGCAAGGCTATTACAGCAGCTGTCAGAAAAAGAAAAAGAAAGGCAACAAATGGCATTTACAAGGAGAAATTGAAGCTAATAGAAAAATGCTCATAATTTGATTTCCATGTTATCTATGAGGCGGACCTTCCCAAACCAGGCACAATGCAAAAGACAACAGGACTCTTATATCTTCCATCGCCTCCAAACTTTCTTGGTCTACAATCTGCTGGCAGGAATCATTGTAAATTAGAGCACCTCAAAATAAAAACCTAAAAAGTTTCAAAAATAAATGCTTTGCTTTGTCCAATAAAATAAAACACTGGTGCTATTCAATAAGTAGTCAGGTGTTTAAAGTATGCATATTCAAGAAAGGAGCTTTGGTCAACATTTGGAGCCATAGGCTCTGTTTTCATTCTACCACTCAAAAACCAAGGAACTCTGGCAGCCATCAAAAAGGGCATATAACAAGTAAACCTTTGAATACAAGGAAGATCCCTAGCATAGTTTCTGATACTTGTGCCCTTGATTGTTTAATAATAAGCTCTAATTGCTCATAAAGCAATTCAGATAGGCATATATCAATCCAAATTACAGGAAACTAAAGGGTATAGAGAGTTCAATTCTTGCTCAGCATAGTCATTCTTCCCCCACATCATTTATTGCTTGGATGACCAAGTCCCTCAAATCTTTACAGTTAATTTGACCCTTTTCTGCAGAAGATCAGCTCTGATAATGACCTGTTTATAGACAATCCTGCAGAATACAAAATTGAATAAATCAATACATGTTATATGTAGATCATAGCACAAGAGGATCAACAGCATTGAGAGGACCTTTTCCCTTTCTTCAGGCGATAGGTGCACATTACGAGAACTCAAAGCAAGGCCATCCTCATCTCGAACTATTTCAGAACCTATCACTTCTATGCCAAAATCAGATCTCGAACCTGTAGGAAGTCAACAGATGAGAAATCAATTAGCAGCAGTGTGTAATCCCTTGTAGCTTATTAATGGCATCATTGAAGCCAATTGCTCAAGCCAAGCACTTAACTAACAGGGAACTCATTTAGAGTTAAAAAAAAAAATTACTCAAATTTGCTGATTTTAGTTTTTAATTGGACAGACATATACAAATCAACTGTCATGTTGCAAATCTAGTTTCAACTATTAAATGAATACACATCAGTCATCACAATCTATAAGCATGACATTTTCTAATATTTCAAATGACAAATCCATGAAAATCAAATCACTCCAAAACTCTTTTCTTTGCATGCTGAGTCTCGGTCTCGATCTTCTACATTCCAGAAAACAGAAGAAAGACAAGTTTTCATACAGCAAAAATGTTGGCATGCAAATAAAATAGCCGATTCAACTACCCCTTAAGGAACTTTCTCACCCCACGTGAATATGATGGTTATAGGCCAATTCCCACACTCAACATAGTTCCCAAAACATAAAGAAAGAAATTTTTAAATGTTTCATGAATCATCCCAACGCCAAACTACATGAGCCTCGATTTCAACACTAAAAATTTAATACATTATACTTGAAAATCATCTTCAGTTCCGAATTTAACATATAAGAAGAGAAGGCAACTTTAAGCATCACAGTAACATTCAAACCCAATCAAACGCAGAATCCAATTTCTGTTGTTTTGTTCAAAACCGATGATCATCACAACCTGATTTTTTGACAGGAAAATAAACAACTTTTCTATCATTAATTTGTTTTCCACAGAATACTCACCATTCGCTGAATAACACGAAACTGCTGATAATCTTTCTTCCCAAAAAAGCAAAATCGCTCCACAATATTAACAACTTGCTAACAATGGTAGCCACCCTCTGAAGAAAACAGCCGACTCTTCCCACACAGACCCTTCTCCAATCTCCGACTCTCACCCAAGTCTCATGCCCCATCCCCTTTCTTCAACACATGAAACAACTCCACACCGCATTACCAGACTCACTCCTCTTACTATCATTAACATCGTTATTTTTGAAATTGTTTTTATAGTCATAAAGATTATAGGGTGGAAGACAACATCCACAGCTTTAGAAAGAGACATAACCTTGCGGAATCACCTTGAAAATCAGAAGGTAAGTCGATAAGTCCTCGGAGAGAGAACTGACCTGGGTTGACATAGATGGAGACAACAGTGAGATTGGCGTGGCGGTGGGATTGTTTGACCAGAGATAAATGACCTTCATGGAGATAACCCATAGTGGGTACTAAGCCTATGGTTTTGCCTTGTGATCTCATAGCTCTTGACCAGTTCCTCATCTGGGTCTTGTCTGTAATTATCTCTGGTTCTTTGGTTGCCATGGGAAGCAAGCGAAGGTGATGAAACTACTAAATTTGCGTGGGGTTAAAAGGACTTTAGTGTACGGAGTTAAAATTCAAGTCGGAGTTGGGTAGATTTGGGGGGGTATGTGGGGGCCTTTGGGGTGATTTGGGGATTTGGAATATTGGAGCGAAAAGACCAAATCTCAAAAAACGATAAATCTTAATAGAGGAGGCGGTTTGGGAGTTGGATGGCACCTAGCCGCCTACGAGGTTACGTTTCTCGTTTGGCTTTATTAAAAGAGTAAACGATTTTTCCCCACCCAAGGTTTGGGCTAATAACCTTCCCAACTGTCAAGTTTCAAAATGATACCCTTCTCACCCATCAAGTTTCGAAACTGACACTTTCCCCACCCACCCTTATGTTCCATTAGCAAATATGTTCTCTAGCATTGTAAAAACAATAGAAAGACGAAAATACCCTCTTTCATCTTTTTTTTTCCTTTCTCCTTCTCTCTACCTCAATTCCGGTTGTGATTCCGACTACCAACCTTCTCGCCACAATCTTTTCACAAAAATCAACTCACAAAATCTTCACTATTATCCAAATCACACACTACACCATCACCCTATCCAATCAACACACAACAACATCATCCAAATCAAAACAAAAATTAAAAAAAAAGTTGGTTGGACTTTCTCACCTTCTCACCCAATTGGTTAGAATCGCACTCGGCCAGGTGGGTTCTGCCAACCAACTCCACAATCAACGCAAAACAAACTCTAATGAGTGAACGTTTGTGGTTATGGGGGCTTGAAAGGTTAAGGATGCTAGGTAGTGGGGGTCCAGTAGATGAGAGAATGGTGAGAGGGGGTGGCCCCATGTGCTAGATGTTCGACACGATTGGAAACTCAATCTTGCGAGCACGATAACGGTGGGTGGTACAAATTTCCAGGTGGGGAGGTGCAAATGGTTGCTGGTATGTGTGGGGTTTGAGGATGATGAATGGTGGCCAAGGAGTCATCGGAGTGACAAGTTTGGCCGACAAAAAAAGTCGCACTTGACTGGAATCCTTTCACCTTCTCACACGAATTTCCATCAACCACAAGATAATCTACCTAATATGCGCCCGACGTTACAATGCAAGATTTGTGTAGGGTTGTTTATGGTTTCCATTACTTTACAGTGCAATTCCGGCAATTGGTGGGAGAGGATTTGGGGCAGCGGGGTGGGGAAGAGTTTAAAAGGTTTGAGTCAGGGTTTTTTTTTTTTTTTTTTATAATGTTTATATATAGGGGATCAAATATAGAATTCCCCCTTGACTCTTTTTTTTAATTTACTATTTTGTCCTTTTTCAATTAAACTTAATAGATATCTTAACATGGGTAGTAAGTTGCATTTTGAAACTTTTTGTTGGAAATGTCATTAGCCAAACCTTGGGTGGGCATCGTTTACTCTTATTAATAGGGTGGTTCGGTTCTGGGTACCCTGCACTTTTTGAAGGAACCGGAACCGACGGTTCCTTGAAATTTGAACCAGAACCAAACCGACGGTTCTGGTTCCTAGGTACCCAGAACCAAACCTGTAACAACGGTTTCGGTTCCGATTCTGGGTACCCTATATAATTATGACCCCCAAAATTTTTAAAATGAAAAAACCCTTAAAAACCTACAATACCCCCCACCTACACTTGTTAACAAAAATAAAATTACAAATTATAAATTCAAAATTACAAACTCCATTACTTTGTAAAGGTAGATTCTCAAAAGTCAAACCAACTTACTTTAAATATTATGAAATATAAATATAAATGTATTCACATTACTTTTTCTACAAAAAATTTTATTAATCCCCCTAATCTTTAATTTTATTTTATATTAGTCTCAGTTCCTGGTTCCTGGTTCTGATTCTGGTTCCTAACTATAGGAATCGAAACCGGAACCGCACAGTAACAGTTCCAAAAATTTGGAACCGAAACCTACCCATTGACTACTGGTTTTGGGTAGGAACCAAAACCAAACCCAGGGTATCCGCCGATTCCGGTTCTAACCGGTTCTTTTGAACACCCTTACTTATTAACAGCTGAATAGTTTTAGCCTATTAGGGACATAATTAAT